GTGTATTTGGTGTAATGAAATGTGTTTAAAAACACATAAACACATTATTTTCCACATACTGTACAATATTGTTTCTCCTCTATGCCCCGCCTTTCTGAAACGCATCAAAAGCTCATCAGCTCATCAGTCTGAAAAGCGAGGTGTGCTCTGATTGGCCAGCTATCCAGTGTGTTGTGATTGGCTGAATACCTCAAGCGTGTGATCCCCTTACCATATTGTGATGCCCTGTCCGGCCAGAGCGTAACATAAAACCATGTCTGCATTTGTGATCGGAGAATTGACAAACAACAAGTGCTACTCTACACTGCCCAAAAAACTTGCGTTTGAATCGTCAGTGGCAAATTCTTTAAATATAAAAAATTTACTTTTTTCTGTGAGTCAGTCTGTACAGTCTGTGTGAACAGTCTGTGAGTCAGAACAGCCGGCATTGTAGTCTACTCTACCAGGATCAGGAAACAGTCCTCCATAAAATGCACTGGACACATCTGAATATTTGGGTTAAACTGTTCTGGAACAGTGTTGTAAATACAACTTAACCACTGATTTCTAGTCGTGTCCTCTTTTGGAAGGCCAAACAAAGTAGTTTCGCAAGGCCACACACCGCGGCCTTGAGTGAGCGGAGGCCGGAGGCCTAGAGTGAGCCGCGGCCTAGAGTATGTGGAGGCCGGCTTGAGTGAGCAGAGGCGGGCGGGCTTGAGAACGGCACAGCCGGCGGATTCAACAAAGGAGCGTCCGGCGGGCTTGCGCCAACCACATGTGACGACCCCAGGCTGGACTCCGCTTCGTCCACAGTGAAAGCCTATCCGGCGATCGACAGCACGAAGTTGATGTATTTCCTCAGCGACCAGCACGGATCAGCTCCAGGCATGACGAAGCGGATATCATCCTCTTTTGGAAGGCCGACCAAAGTAGTTTCGCTTTCACAACGAAACACAGCGCCTTCACGACATGGCGGCAGCGACAACAACAATACTACAGCGAGAATAAAAGTTACGCCTTCTTTCTTTGCATGAACACTGGGGTGGCGTTATGCAAATCTTCCCACATCGTGACATAGACATGTGAGGGCGTGTTAGAATGAGCCGTTTTAGGTAGGCATGGTTGACTCTTAACTTTTATAAAGAATACCTCTTTGGATCTTTAGTCTTTGCAACTTTACAGATCTGCTTTATGCACCAAAAGCTTGTAACACTCCATAGAGAAAGGAAAATTTAAATCGCATCATATGACCCCTTTAAGATGAAAAGCTAATGATTGCTTCCAAACAGGTTTCCTGAACACTTTCCCGCCTTCAGGATATATAGTCACACCCCCATACTCACTCCATTGGACAATATTCGCAGGAAACTGCATTATGATTGGCTAACATGTAAAAACTGCTGTCAGATTGTCGTTTCTGCTTTTTAGAGTTATTGGCTATGACATAGAATATGTGTGATTTACCCGGACACCTATTTCAGAGATATCCGTCTGGCAGTATGGATATTTTATGCTTGGAATTTAAAACAATCCCTTACAGCAGCTTTATTTGGGCTGCTCACAGTAAAGCAAATGTTTTCGGTCTTATACTGACACCTTCTGGTAATATATTTAAATTGCACGATCACAGAATGCTTCTGTTTGTCCAGCATCTCTGACAAAAAATAACTCCATTCTCAGTAAGTTAAAAGTAAACTATCTCCATACTTGGGGGGGGGGGGGATACTTATTATGACTACAAAATTTTGAATATTCCACTTTTTCCTCGTTCTTGACTTATTCCAGGTAATTCACATGACACGAGGAAGTCAAACTCACCTGTGGGGAAACAAACACACACTCTCTCACCCCATCGTACTGTTTTGTGATAGTGCCTTCGGTCAAAGTGTATGTTACCCAAGTTCAATTGTCTGTGCTTGTACATGTGGCCTTATATCTGTTAAAAACAAAAATACATTAGACTATACACACATATAATCGCACACAAAGATAACAACAACAATAATAAAGCTTTTTCAAATATAACTTCTTCAGTTGGCGTATTTATGTGAACAGAAACCATTCCAGGTTAAAACAGGTAAACCTGTAAACACATAAATCTGTTCCAAAGTTAATAAAACTGCCGGGAGCTAGTAATTTGCATAAACACACCAAATATAAGAGCTTACACACCCTGTCGAAAAAACCAGCATATGCTGGTTAGGTATGTTTTGATGCTGGGATGCTGGTTTATGCTGGTCCTTTGCTGGTTTATGCTGGTCATGTGCTGGCAAAGGCATAAAGCATAAGCCAGCAAAGGACCAGTTTAAACCAGCAAAGGACCAGCATAAACCAGCAAAGGACCAGCTTAAACCAGCATCCCAGGGTCAAAACATACCTAACCAGCATATGCTGTTTTTTTCAACAGGGAACTTCATCTTTCTCTCAAGTTCGCATGCGCAGAAAGATTTACCAGTAATGTATACCATTCTCAAAACTAGTTAAAAATATTTTTATGCAGACTACACACGATTGTGTTTTGTATATCTCATTTGCGTACGCCTGGCTGCATTTTGCCATGTCATTTTTATTGTATTAATTTTTGTTTAGAAATAATTTTGTAGTAGCTTACGTTTACATACATTTTTTTAATAAAATGGATTAAAATTACCTATTTCGAAAGCCATCAGGAGGTCTGTGTACAAGTGGTTTTAGTTGGTTCTAAATTTAAGTTGGTTCTTTGTGCATCTTTAAACACTGAGATCTTCTCAAACACCACTCTTGTTTTTAATCTAAAAGCAAATACTGGCACTGCATGTCAGAATTCTGAAAATTATTTTAGTTTTTCCAGTGAAACATTCATGAGAAAGAATTCATAGCTTTAAGCAAGAGCCAAATTCCATAGGCACATGTATCATTTTCAACATCAATATGTCCAGTTGATCAATTTTCCTATGTTGCCAGCAGCGACAGTTTACAGTTCCTACCTTGGTGGGGTTCTGTGTACAGTGACAGGTACAGGAGTTCCATTTGGTTAGCTGTGAGCATTTATCTGCAGGTGGTTCTGTAATTTAATACTTTGTCTTCTCTTTGACTAGTGTGGCGGTTTTGTCAGTTAGCTGACGGTTTTTATTCAAAATAACTTAGTACACAAATTAATGCCTCAGTACACTGGTAGGAAACCAGGGATCTGGTGTTTTTGGCAATGCTACAGCCGAAATACATGACCTGATAACTTAACAGTACTTACTACTTAGGTTTAATCTAAAACTTTTGTGTTACCAAGAAAATGTGAGTAGTGTTGTTTACCTATGAAAAACTTACCACAGTGATGCCAGGGTTGCTATGAGATTGCTAAAGTGTTTAATACCTGAAAGATATTGTGGTCTTTTATGTCACAGGTTCCTTTGTTTAGCATAACAAGTATATGGGATTGGAATCATCTTTCAGATGAAAACGGCAAGTCGTGGCCTAATGGTTAGAGAGTCAGACTTGTAATCCAAAGGTCACGGATTTCAGTCTCGGTACCGCCAAGGATTGTAGGTGGGTGGACAGTATTCCACTCTCAATACCATGATTTAGGTGAGACCCTTGAGCAAGGCACCAAACCCCCAACTGCTCCCTGGGCGCCGCAGCAAAAATGGCTACCCACTGCTCCGGGTGTGTGTTTGTTCACTACTCACTGCTGTGTGTGTGTGCTTGGATGGGTGAAATGCAGAGCACAAATTCCGAGTATGGGACACCATACTTGGCTACACGTCACGTCACTTTCACTAAATCGGATCAGTTAGAAACATAACACGTCTCACAATCTGAGGTATTATACATGTTTGCATCAGTCCAGGAGGAGTTTAATACTTGTACTATATATAATTTTTCAGTGTAGGATTGGTGGTTTCATAGAAATGTGAGATTCAAGAAAGAAAACAAATAACAAGAGTACAAATCCATACTAAAAATAGCTTTATTGAAGAAATGTATGCATGTACACCACATTAAGCGCTTGTACATTTCGGGTACTCAGAACAAGAACATTTTAGCAACGGTTTAACACATGTAAAATTATTACATAAAAGGTTGGCAGTTTCTTTTACAATATTGTACTGGAATTAACAGAAGAAAAAAAAAACACCCATCTTTGGCTAGTTGTCAAATGTGTATCATTCCACCACAAGGCACAAGATAGTAATTTATTTTAATGCACTTAAGTAATATCTTCTTAAATTGGCACTTTTCTCTGCCATCACTAATTAGCGCTAAAGGCGCATCTTCTCCCTAACGATTTCTTTTTCTTGCCATACGAGTTATATAGTTTTTACCATGCACAGATAAAGTGTATAAGGACTCGCTCAAAAATAAACATTTGTAAAATTAAAAAAAAACAAAACATTCCGTTTATGGCTTTTAGCAACTGAAAGTTATCAGAAAAAAAAACAAGCCTATATAGCAAAAAGACAACAAACTCACCATTTATTTACACAAACACACTGTCATAAAACTACACACCAAAAATACTACACTCAAAAAGGTTATAGAAACACCATGCTGCATTATGTGCATATATGTGCAGGGTCTAGCAGTTGCATTGTACAATTCCCAGAGTAAAACGAACAATGTGTGTCCTCTATTGTTCTGGTCTTGCAGCTGACAAATTTAAACAATCCTGCTCACCAAAAGCAGGCAACAGAGCTGACATCACTGCTCCCCAGAGCACAAACACAATATTTTGCTGCTACGTCACTGCACTGTACACACAAATACTGAGCTCAGATTATTGTGAGAACAAAAAAAAGGAAGAGTTTTATGGGAGCTGAGAGTGTGAACTGGCCATTTGGCCTGATGCTTCACCATTGCAAACACTTACTGATACAGTAAACCTGAAGAAGGATCATCAAATTCATATTTACATCTGGGACACTGCGATATATTGACTTAAGTGCCTGGTTGGGGCATTCAAACATCCATGAAGAATAAATAACTTAAAGTGAAAGAACATTATTTGATTCACTTATAAACGAGACATCTTTGCTTGTATTCTACATGATATGCAAGAAAGCATGTTGCTAAATGATACAGAATAATTATACAGAGGCTAATCAACAGTAATGCTTCATATGGATGGCATTACTATAAAAGAGCAAACACATAATAAAAAACACGTTTTTCCTTTAAATGTCATGATAGCCGCAATTTCTACTACAAAATACAGAAAACAGTTAATATCACCCAAATACATACGTAAAGAAATATTAAAAGAAATACAATAATTTTCTGTGCCTGATGGATTGTTGTGAACCATTTACCTATTAGACATGGCTCAACAAAAAGTAGTTCCTGCATATTCTGTGTCCGTCTGTCACGCCCACACATCCAGCTGAATCTTTTCAAACGCACTTATATACACACACATGGATTTATCACAATCGAACACTATCTACCAGACACAAATAATCACGCCGTTAACCCACTCAAAACAACTTACACCAGACATTAAAATACAATATAAAATGCAATAATAGAAATGAAGTGGGGGGGGGGAAAGCAAATAAAGACGTTTAATTGACAGGAACAACAAGTGAGGTTGAGGGATCAGAGACCAGCTAGAATTCACAATCAGCTGTCAATCAGTTTAGAAGTATTTGGGTAACGGATATGGAAATATGCAAATCCATACACAATCTGTATCCGACTATAAAGGCCGGTAGAACATATAATAAAAAATAAAAAAAATGTTACAATGAAGTTGGGGTCTAATTTGATTTTGTCTAAAATATCTTCTTTTGTTTTCTTTAGAAGAAAGGTCATATGGGTTTGGAATGACGTGAGGGGGAGTAAATGATAGAATGTTTGCACTGTACACTGAAATGAGTTATGTAGTTGTCAGTTTAACTGACTGGTCTCAAAGCTTGTGAACTGGACTCACCTTACCTAACATAATACTACGTTCTCTATAGTACGGCTCAGTTTATCCATGTCCCTGTGCGAGTCAGTGAGTATGCTTTTTTAATGTCAAGAATGGTAGAACTTCTCATTGTAGCGGTGGATGGTGACGCAGCCGTGGTAAGAAATAGGGCGGGGCATGGCGGCCACGCCCGTAATGATGCCGGTGGACGGGTCATAGCACAGGATTGTATCTGATGCCTCTCCGTTTTCACCACGGCCACCCAGGATATAGATCTTTCCGTTACATACCGACATACCACAACTTTCCTGAAAAACAAAAGCGAGAACGTAAACATGTTGGTCTGTTTAGACAAGTATGTGTCAACGGAGTGCAACACATGAGTTCAGGAAGTAAATATTAGCTGGGTAGATTACTTACAAATTGTAGTCCATTACTGATTCCAAACTACATAACAAATATTGTAGTTAGTAACATAATCCATTACATTACACATTTTAGGTAATGTAATCAGACTACTTTTTGATTACTGAGTGATAATTAAAATAAAAATGAATGTGTTCATCAGTAGTTGATGCAATGTTGAAACACTTCTTAAACCTGCAAGTATTTTTGTAAATCCAGAGGTTAAATGCGGTGTAGCCACATGAATAGTGACCGGTCTTTGTGTGAATGTCCAAAAAAAAACTGTGATTCTGATTGTGTGAATAATGTGTAATCATGTAATCAATAAGAAGTAGCTTAATTTAAAATGTTATTTAATCTAATTACAAGTACTTAATTTGTGTAATTTTATTACAAAATTCCAGATTACATTGTCAATATGGGGTGCTGTGTGTACATTAATGAGGAAAAAAAATGAACTTAAATGATTTTAGCAAATGGCTGCAATATAACAGAGTGAAAAATTTAAGGGGGTCTGAATACTTTCCGTACCCACTGTATATAGCCATAAAAAGGTTTAATTATCAAATTAATTAATTTATGCTTAATGCATATTTCATATGTTCCTGATAAACCACTACTCATAATACTTTCCAATATAGAAATGGTAATCAATGGTATTGTATATGTAATTAAGGCATTCTTCCTACCCTCTAAAAAAAAATTCTCCAAATTTTGCAATACTCAAAACTATGGGTGAGAGGTCATTCTCTTGTGTTGCTCCCAGGTTGTGGAATTCTTTGCCTCTTCCTATTAGGAATGCTCGGTCTTTTGATTGTTTTAAGAAATTACTCAAAACATCTCTTTAGTGAAGCTTTTAAGTTATAATCTTACAGTTGTTGTTGTCATCGTGTTGTCATTGTGATTGCTATTATGGAGTAGTGTTGTTCTTTTATTGTCGTTTTATACTGTTGTAGCGCCTTGTGTAAGAAAGGTGCATTACAAATAAAATTATTATTGTTTATATTATAAACATATATTTGTAATATTTTTTAATTAAAATGTAAAATTAAAAAACACTGTGTTTGTGATATGATTTCTTGCTTTTTTTTTAGTTTGTAATGGGATTCTAATTCTTATAACTGTTAATTGAAGAAGTTTTTTTAATTCTCTACTGATAAAATTAATAATAAAACACTTCTAGAGGCAAGTCCACTTTGCATTCTGTAGCATTTTAAATCTTAACTTCATAACAGCCAGTACCTGTTTGCTGAATGTGTGGACCACATGCATCCAGTAATCTTCAGTGGGGTCATAACAGTAAATGGATTTGGTCAGGCCTCCAGAAACATAGATGAGATTGTTCAGTGATACGGCCGTGATGCAGCGCTTAGCGATGGGGATGTTGGCCCTTAGCAACCAGGAGTCAGACTCTGGGTCATAGCACTGAACCTGGAGGAAAACACACAATTGACTATGCAATGTCTCCTCGGGCTGTAAAGCAAATCCGGGAATCACAGACATTTATCAATCCCCCTGTCATTTTAGAAACAAGGGTGTTGATAAAAACTTCACAGACTTTTTGAGGTCTTAATATAAAACTGCCTTGTGGAAATCCAAACTCACAAAATCAGTGATCATGTGTCATTTTTCTGATAAAAATTATACATAAATCACACAAAGACAAAATCGACTTCAACTGTGATCAGCTATGGTCATTTTGATTAGCTCAGCATGAAAAGAGCTTTCCTGGAGCATTTCAGTCCTTGGTAGTGCAACTGAAGCAAACAATCAACTATGGGTGGCAAGGCACTGTCAAAAGATCTCTGGGATAAAGTTGTGGACAGGCACAAGTCAGGAAATGGATACAAAAAAAATTTCAAAGGCTTTATCAATGCCTAGAAGCACAGCAGAATCTATTATTAAGAAACGGAAGGTATTTGGAACAACATAGACCCTCCTTGGATCAGGATGTCGCTCCAAACTGGATGAAAGAGCCAGGAGGAAACTGGTCAGAGAGGCGACCAAGAGGCCTACAGCAACTCTAAAGCAGCTGCAGGAATTTATGACAAAGAGTGGTCATTGAGTGCATGTGTCAACAATATCACAAACTCTCCACAAATGTGGCTTGTATGGGGGGGGTGCAAGAAAAAAAGGGACTCCTCAAGAAAGGCCACATGCAGTCATGACTGAGCTTTGCCAAAACACACTATGAAGATTCTGAGGCAGATGAGACTAAAATCGAATTATTTGGCCTCAACACCAAACAATATATCTGACGGAATACAGCTCACCATCCAAATAACAGCATTCCTACAGTAAAGCAGGTGGTGGTAATATCCTGTTATGGGGGTGTTTCTCTGCAGTGACTGGAGCACTTGTCAGGATAGAAGGAAAAATGGATGGGGCAAAACACTGTAAAATTCTTGAGGAAAATCTGCTGCCCTCTGCAAGATTGTTGTCAATGGGAAGAACGTTTACCTTCCAACATGACAATGACTCAAAGCACACAGTGGTTAAAGTAGAAAAAGGTGAATGTCCTTGCATGGCCTAATCAGAGCCTAGACATAAACCCCACTGAAAATCTGTGGAATGACTTGACAACTGCAGTCCACAAACAGTCACCATCAAATTAACAATACTTGAGCAGTTCTGCAAAGAAGAGTGGGTAAATATTGCAAAGTCTAGATGTGCAAAGTTAGTAGAGACATATCCCAACAGACTGAAGGCTGTAATTAAAGCAAAAGGTGGTTCAACAAAATACTGACACAAGGGGGTGATCCTTTATCCAATTTTCACTTGGATGTTATAAGTTGCACTGAGTAAATACAGCTGGATAAAACAAAAACTGTCCATCTTAATTTCAGGCTCAAGTGAAACTATATAATCAGAGCTCTTTTATTTACTGTGGCTGGGTTATGGTCCATTGCACCGTTTAGAGAAATCCCAAGATGACTACACTGAAAAACACACCCTCCAGTAGCGTGACCCAAAAATAAACGTGATGTTTACATGCAGTAAATGCACAATGACATGCAGAGGGTGGTTTTCAAAGACACCCTTCTCCTCAGCACCATGCATCATACTCTTCAACAAACCTTATCTGAGCATGTGTTATCGTCAGGTCCTCCTCCAATCACAAATAGTTTGTTGACACAACTGGAGACGGCTGGTGAGCTGACAGCCTCCTTCATGGGTGCCACCTCTGTCCAGCGGTTTGAGAAAGAATCGTAGCATTCGACGCTGCTTAGTCGTGACTGACCGTCATATCCACCAACGGCATACACCTGTAGATAAATACAATTTAAGTTATGGGCCCATACACAATACATCTTAGTGTTGTGTAATGTAGGTAAGTTCAAACGTACTGTGTGCAGTAAAAAAAATTTTTTTTAAATCACACGCATGTGAAAGGTTCTTAGAAAAGTCTGAATTTTCTTGACTATTTCCAACTAAATAATGTACTTTTTAACTATTGTAAAGTTCATTCCTCATCAAATATATGTGCTTAGTATGAGATTTTGTCTGTTTTGAATTGTATACATGACATTTCTGAGGATGACACAATCTGGAGGTGAAACGAAGCATGTAGATCTAGCCAAACAGGGACAACTGCTTACCCTTTCATATCACAATTCTGAAATTGATGTAATGACAAAGGGATTGTTATAGACACACGCACATGCACAAACCCTGAGGCTACCACTGCATTAGTGACAAAACAAATCTATGATTATATCTGCTTTTTTTTTTTTGATTACGTAAGTGGACTAAACAAACCTGATCCATACATCTTGAAGACAAATGGCCATTCACAGGAAATTCTATATCCAACTGAGTATGCATTATAAATAGTCATGAGGTGAACACTTCACTTCTGACTGTGCCAGCGGTTAAGACTCTTCTGGTTTACTCTTGAGTAACCAGAGGCAGGTACTTTGAAAAACTTTGTAGAAAGTCTAAGATTAAGATAAGGAAGAGAAAAAAAAAAAAAAATTAAAAAAAAAAAAAAAAAAAAAAAAAAAAAAAAAAAATAAAAAAAAAAAAAAAAAAAAAATCACACGCATGTGAAAGGTTCTTAGAAATGCCTGAATTTTCTTGACTATTTCCAACAAAATACTGTGCATCCGAATATGCCTACTTTCCTACTAAACAGTTTATAAACAGCAGTATCCAGAATTAATTAGTAGTATGTACGAATTCATTGGGTTCATAAAACCGCGTAAAGAGAGGAGATGTGAATGCCAGTGAAGCAACGCAACTCACTAGTAGGTCCCATGACAAAGACAACATGGCCAATGCATTTCATCTGTATTTCATTCATACTATATAGAATGTACTTTTTAACTGTTGCAAAGTTCATTCCTCATCAAATATATGTGCTTAGTATGAGATTTTGAACAACTATAGTTTTAATAATACAGTGATTTTAAAAATGTCAAGTGGTATAACCATTAGGCGAAAACAAATGTGTGTTCATTATTAAAATAAAACCTAATATATTGAATGTGATGATTTTTACATTTACATTATGATTTGACATTTAAAAAACCTGAACTGATTTTTCTTTCTCCAAAACAATCTAATTATAACAATATTGTATATCAATTCTACTTCACGGTTAATATTTTAAATAAACAATTATGGCTACTATGAAATATTTTTTTATTCCAGTAATTTCAGCCTTAATGGGTTGCACTAATTAGACAAAACCACAATGCAAGAAAAACATGTTTACACTTTTCAGATTTTCTCTGGTTTTAATGTCAAAACATAAACAGATATGCCCTTATCAAATAAGTCGTAAAGAGGTTTACATGCAGAGCAAAATAGGGGTAATGGGGTGGATGTGTGCAAATCAGGTTTTGCATAAATAATTTAAGACAGTTTAAAACTACAGTTGAAGGCTTTTCTGTGACTTGGGTTATTAACCAGTCAATAAAAGACTCATTGGCAGCATCCAAGTGGATGCTGCACACTGGTGGTGGTTGAGGGGAGACCCCCGACATGATTGTAAAGCGCTTTGGATGTACAACAATACACAATAAAGCGCTATATAAATGCATCATTCATTCATTCATTCATCCAATATGTGACCAAAACATCACCACTGCAAAAACATGACCTTTGCAAAGTGTTGACAGTTCGGTGTTGTGTAACATCACTCTTGTTTTTCTAAGTACCCAAAGAGATTGAGAAATTTCCCATTAACTCAAATAAAAACACGTGGAACACAAAAACCCTGAAGTGTTTGTCTCCTCTCTCTCTCCTGCCTCATGTCTCCATGCTGTTCAAAAAGAAGAAGGTAAACATGTTCCCCTTAATGGAACAACCAAGAAAACCAGTCGGACCAGTAGCGGTGTACGAACATGCTCGAACACAGAGGGGCCACACGCCACTTACGCAAAACAAAGCCATGTGCTTTGTGATGAGCCCTTTGTTCAGACTGAGATATTATTCAGACAGTGCTTTCACGCCTGGGACTGATAAGATGGTATATCAACAAAAGTTATAAAAACCATGCTTCATCATCAAAGATTATAAAATATCTTCAGTGGAATTCAGTTTCCTGTTCACTGTGTGCGTAAGAGAAAAAGCTAATATGCTGACAGGGTGTGAATCAGTTTCATTTAAAATGTTAAATTAATTATTAACATTAATTATTGTATCACACATACACAATAATCACAGAGTATATCTAACCAGTGTCAGCACAGCTCAAATCACATTATTGCAGCATGACCCTGTGGTAATGTGATTTTTTTCCACATCTCGTTGTTGTGACTTCAGTTGATTAGATTTCATCTGTCAGTCATGAATCTTTCATAACCAATAAATCCAACCACAGTCAAACAATCCATATGTCTGAAAGGCTGCTGCTCAAAAACAAACCCAAATGATCTTTTGGGGTCAAATGAGTTTGAGTCCAAAACTATTATCTGCCTGAACAGAAAAACAAAGAGTTGGAGAGACTCTAGCAGACACCCAGAGACAGGAACCTGGGGGGGGAGATATCTGAATAAGCCGCAAAGCATCCAACAAACAAACCAAGAGAAAGAGGCATTCATGCAGACAGCTGGCTATAACTTACATGGCATGTTAATGAGTTATTGCACAAGTAGCTTTTGTTCGCTCGGCTCATTCCTTTCACAAGATTGATTTTCTTGATTCTTGATTTATTGAACCTTTAAGCTGGTTCCTCACCGAGTCCATAAAATGCATCAGATCCTCTGCAAACAGAACCGACCAAATCTGTTTTACCCCCTGCCAAAGTAAATCAGATCTCTGGAGCTGATAGGAGTGATGCAATATCAGCTTAAGTATACAGATCCAAACACTTTTGGCGTTCCTTTATGGTACGGGCCATTCACATGTCTGATCACTTCAACGTCAGTTACTGATTATTAAAAACTGTACTGTAAGCAAACCACCTCCAAGGGAGAGGTTAAAAATTATGTCACTGTTTAATAAAAACAAGGAACAAGTTCCAAGGAGGAAAAGAGGGACAAACAAAGGCTTTGAAAGTGAGCAAACTAAGACAAGACAAAGAGCAGTAAATGACAAACAGGCAATAAATTATAAGGATGGGAACATGTTTGAAAACTAAATATGGGTTAAATACCCCAACAACACCCATTTCTATATGTAGGAAATCTTATTCATGGTTAGAGGTATATCATCAAAACAGGAAGTCGTCTTCTTCCATGTGGCATGACTAACTAAGCCAACACTTTAAATCATGGGATTTATTGAAAAGCCAACAAAAATGCCCTTAAAAGTTGGAATGTATTGGTTTCTAAATGGCTCTTAAATAGTTTGTTGGTTTCATGCTCTGCAGCCAAAAATTCACCACAGAATTCACATTGTGGTCGAGGCACACCATGTTTATCATTGCTACAAGTCAACTGGCATTAAATGTAGTGTGTATAGTCTACCTTGTGTGGTTTTGTTCATAGTTGAGGGCATGTTAAACAACCCATTAGCATTAGCATCTATTTTGAAAACTAATTTATGCAAAAATGCTCTAGTTTCATTGGGCGCATGGCCTTTGATGTAATAAAAAAAAAAAAAAAACGTTTCCTCCTCCCTTTTAAAAGTTAATACATTTATTCATTTTTATAAATTTATATTTAGCATTATTTCTGATAGTGACTGAACTCACCTTTCCCAACAAAACTGCCATTTTGTGTCTCCAGCGGCCCTTGTTCAAGGAGGCAACCCTGATCCAGATGTTGAGCTGGGAGTTGTACATCCAGACATCCCTGCTGTTAATTCTACCACCTGAAATTGCATCACCAATTGGTCACAACCAATATTTTATGTCTCGCTATGCACTTATTATAATACTTATGCAATAATGTAAGAAGGTAAATGACCCATGACACACTAGGTGAATGTTCTTTGTTATCTCACATAAACACATGAATAATATGTGAATAATAAAACTATATTTGCAGACATCTCGCTCCAGTTCTGAGATAATTCTAAGTGAAGCAATATTATTAGAGACCAGCTTAACCAGAAATATGCAGTCAAGTACTTATGAAAATAATTATGCAACGCATTCATTATTTACATATACACTACCATTCACAACAATGGCAGATTTTTATGTTTGATTTTATACTTTGATACTATTAATAATATATAAATTTCTTCACAAATAAACATTGTAATTACATTTTACAGAATTGTATTTAGCTTAAATTTAATTATTTATTTTTACACCAGATAGTAAAGAAAATCAGCCAACAAGTGTCTGGGATTCTACGGTTTAGAAAGCATCCCAGGATGCACCTCATGAAGTTGTTTGAAAAACTGTCTAGAGCTGTAATTTAAGCTACTTTGAAGGACTAAAATTATAAGAGTTTTGATTTGTATAACATTCATTTAGTCACCACATAATTCCCATACTACCATTATTTCATAGTTTCCGTGTCTTAACAACAACTACACATTGTAAAAATAGTAATAATAAAGAATGACTGGGTAAGTGGTAAATGTGACCAAACATTTGACTGGTATAGGTTAACGCATGTGCATCTGTGTGATTATGCTAACAAAAGCTAAACATCTACAAAACTGTTCCAGTTCTTCAGGAAACACCGGCAGTGTGGAAAGAACACACTGGACTCAGCAAAGCTGCTCAACCTGAAACCCATCTTTCTATTATGTCAATTTCCCATTATTTTCTGTCTCACATATCTTAGTCTTGAGTTTGACGCATACAAATACATATATATATATACACACACACACACACACACACACACACACATACATACATATACATACATACATGCATACATACATACATACATGTATATACACATATGACACATATACAGGCTTCATGCGTGGGAAAGCCTGCCTGGCCCACTGAACAAACTTCAAAGAAGGAGAAGAAACAAGATGTGTGGGGAAGGAATGAACTTAAAGGAGTTTAAAATTACACACACACACACAGAGAGAGAGAGAGAGAAAGTTTTAACTAGCAGGACTGTTCTCATAGAAACACGTGAGTGCTTGGCACATGCAGAATGTAAACTGATCGCTCAGGATTCCAGCCCCTCACTCACCCTTGCTCTCTCTCTCCCTCTCTAACAGTCTTTTCTCATGAGATAGCTGGTAGTCCTGGTCTCTTTTAATCATGTCTCACAGTCTTTTTGCTGAACCTGCTTGCTGTTCAAAGCGAGCTGCTCTGTCAAGCGTGGTGCCCTGCTGTGTCTAACAAATCCCCGCAGACTAAACCAGCCAGGAGGCAAACATCAAACTAGGTCATCTACAATAACTGAGAAATTAATGACAGATGATACAAAGGATTGACAGATGAAGGGCATACAAAGACAAGCCTTAGATATAAAATGAACGAAATATACAAATAATCTATCTTTCATTTTACAATGAGTAATCTACATTTTAAAGACTTCACAAAATTAAACATGAAGTTGTGTGGGTATCTGTAAGCTTTGATGCCATCTATATGCTAATGTACCCCTAAAAACTGACGAAATTAGCAGATATATGCATTCAAAATGAATATGGTCATTCTATGCAAGACCAAAAATATTAAGACAAGATTTGCAACATTTTATCCAACCAAATGCTGTCTAGAATGAGAATGTGCCACCCCTTAATACTAGCAAATCATCCTACTGGCGTTTTCAAAAAGGAACAAGGGCTTTGATATTTCCTTTGATTTTCCTTTACTTCATGTCTCGATAGGAAATGCATCAGCACAGGGAGGAATACCAAGTCATGTCTTTCCACCACTGCTTGCGAAACAATTTAGCATTCATGAAATGGTATCACAAATATCCATGTTTACCTGAGACCAGAATGTCGTTCCTGAGGGCACACACAGCATACTCTGACTTGGTGAACTCTGGGAGTTTGGCTAAGGATTTCCATTCCCCAGTTACCGGATCATAGCATTCAGTATATGGCAGGTTGAAACCCCCCATCCTCTCGCACCCTCCAACTACCACAATGACTTCTGAGAATCCAGTAGACCTGCAGGGACACAACAGGATGTCAAACTTGGACACATGGACAAATTAAAATCCTTAATAGCACTGAAACATGGAAAGGGATCACATTCTAATCAGCACTCTGTAATACATCTAGCACTGCACAACTCATTGTTTACATTTTGTTTTCTTTTAATTTTTGGTCTATTTGTTCTCTGCAGTGACACAGAAATTAGATGAGTTTAGAACCCCTTCTAAGAATAGCAGTAAACAACACCGTCTAATAGTGCCCGGAGCATGCAAGAACCAATCCACAGGCAAACACATTTCATCCAGAACTAACTGCCCCAAGTTTTTTCCCCCTGAAATCATCTGCCTAGAAGACTGTTCTCTCTGTGTAAATGCTCAGGGGGTTGGAGAGTGCATAAGCGATGACACTAAAGTTAGAGTTGAACTTTGAATACACTCTCCGGGGGAAAGAGATTAGAACAAATTGAGCCAGTCGCCTGGTCAATTCATGCAAACATGGAAAATTCAGATCAATCTTTCATGTGTGATGTAATTAGTCTAAATGCGCCGCACCCATACAATCCCAGAGAATAATTAGGGGAGATCAGCCAGGCCCTATCCAATAATTCAAACTTAAGAACCATACCAAATCTGCCAGGAAACAGAGGTGGAACTACAACTTTTCTGCCAACTGTAAACTGACACCCGTCTGAAACCTCTAACAAGGCCCTGTGAAGCAGAGGAGGTGTTTTGAGAGTGTCCTTTTTTTCACCAAAATAAAATAAGGTATGTTGAGTTGTAAACAAATCTCGCCTGAGATTGGGGCTGCAGTTATTAATGACTGTGCTACACCTCTCTGCAAGCAGTCTATAATGAGGCTGTTAATAAATAAGCCCTGTAACGTTGGCAGATCCTTCAGCGAATCACGTTCAGGCAGATTCCAGGTCACTATACATTCAGCTCTGAGAAAAGCATAAGTGTGCAGTTTCCCCTCCCCCTGCACTCTCTCACCTCACGTTCCTCCAGACGTAACAAAAACAGAGTTCACACTGCAAGCAGGATCAGGTCAACAGGAACATGTTTCGAAACTCAGGTGCTTAAGTGTTATGAAGCTTGTGGAGGAAGAATTTGTATGGGCATGCCCCGCCGAGACTTTATTTTCCCTCAATGCTCTGCAACACAGTGGGCCTGAAGGGGCCGTCTCTTTTTGCTCCATCTCGCTGTACTTACAATGTGGCTTGGATTGTTCCATAGCCATAAATTAAAGCAATGGGTTTCCCCAATGCTCAACTACGGAGTACAAAACAAACCTTCAAGTTACTTCAAACACCCACTTGAATCATTGCCATCAGGTTTTGAGAATAACTGAATCTATAATGTAGCCTTTCTGAAAAAGGTTCTAGAAGTATCTGGGATCTTTAAGGACATAAGAATGTGTTTCAACTAAGCTTGACAACCACTAATAACTAGTAAACCACCATTTGCTTGATTCTGTTTGTTTCGGGGCAGCCGATAATTTGAAGTCAAGTCATAGTAAACAAACTCTTCGATAGTGACTTGGCAAGGCACGGAATACTCTTTTCTTTCCTACAATCATCACTTGCTAATTTTTCTGCAGTTTAAACTGCTTGGTGCATTTAGTGCAGGGGTGTCCACTGTCCAAACTCGGTCCTGGAGGGCCAGTGTCCTGCAGAGTTTAGCTCCAACTTGCATCAACACACCTGCTTGGAAGTTTCGAATATGCCTAGTAAGAGCTTGATTAGCTGCTTCGGGTGTGTTTATTGGGGTTGGAGCTAAACTTTGCAGGACACCGGCCCTCCAGGAGCAGGATTGGACACCCCTGATTTAGTGCATGTAAAGACTGAGACTTAAGAGTGCTTGCATCAGTGTACATTTCTAGGTGATAAATTTAATAAAGACCTTCATGGTACAGGAAATGCCCAGGTAAGATGCCAGTAATACCTGCGTGGACGGGTTCTAGGTGACATCATTTCATTGCCCAAGACATGATAGCGCCTGGCTTCGTGCAGGAGCTGATAGCACTCTGGTGCATTTTGGATCAACTGGTCACCTTCTACCGTCTGCACAAAATAATTTGGATGCAGCAGGGGCAGTCGGACGTGGTTGAGAAGGTCTCTAAGCATGATTCGACGGTGGTCCACATCGTAGTACACCCAACGCATCACTGCCTCAAACACGGTCTCCTCCTTTCCAATGACTAGCTCGTCACTAGCTATGTACTCCTCCAGTTCCTCCTTACGCAAGTCCAAGAATTCTTCATGCTGGGCCACATCGGTAAAGCTCTGCAGTGCATAACAGCGGCAGCGACTGGCCAGTTGCTTGAGGGAGTGCGTGTCGGCAAAACGCTGGATGCCCAGGCAGTTGCAGGGGTCAAGTTGGTCTTCCAAGAACTTGGCACAAGCATCACGCAGAGTGCTGATCTGGAAGAGGCTGGAGGTCTCGAAGAGGAACTGCACATTATCTGTAGTGATGCGGGCACGTCCAGTGTAGACGTACTGCAGGAAGGTGTCCATGGCTTCAGCACGGATGCCGTTGATCTCCACCAACATCTCACGGCTCTCCCGGTGGTCATTGCAGAACATTGCACGGAAGTAGCTACTGCAAGCTGACAACACGGCACGGTGACACGGGAACTCACGACCCTCCACACTGATCATCACGTCCGTGAACAATCGGCCGTCACGGAACTCATTAAACATCTGCAGAATGCTCTCGGAGTGGCAGGGCCCGGAGGAGAAATCAAACACTTCATGATTACCAAGTGACTTGTTGTCCATCTCCAGAACCTTTCGCTTGACTGCTGGGGACTCACGGACTCCAGAGTCCTCCCGGTTCAGTCTTCTGCCCAGAATAAGTACCATTGCGATCAGACCAATGAGGCCCAAGGCCTTGTAGACAATAGAAGAAAAGTATGCCTCAGCTGAAATTAAAAAGAGAAACATTTATTTTTATCAGGAGATTCATGAACTTGTTATAATTTTATAAAAATGACAATGAGTCACATATCGGAGTTGCTTTTGTAAGCTTTAAGGTGATGATACATAAAATATGAAAATGTGCTTTATGAAATTAAAATTAGTTTAAAACAAAAAGCATATGCAGCCTTTCAGGCTAAATTTACAAAAGATGTAGGAGTAGCTAATGTTACAACAACCACACAGTATCATGTCAAAAAAGTGCTGCCAGCAAACGTGACATACATTAACTAGTAAACCTATCTTTAATAAGGTTAAATATTATATTTAAAAGGTTAAATAACTTTTTTTTAACCACAAAAACAAAAATTACAAAAATTTGCCTAACCTACAAAAATGACCACACTTAGTCCATAACAATTGTCCTCTTGAGGACAATAAAAGTATACTACTACTACTACTACTACTACTACTACTACTTTATCCACTTTAAGTTGCCATTGTTATGACAACCTGGCAGCCTTTTGTTTGTCTTACATTGCCCTCTCATTGCTCCAGGTGAGTTCACCTTTAGATTAAACGTGACGCTTTTGTTGTGCTGCTGGCCTCTAGCGGTCACTTCCGTATTCAACAAGTGGATCAAAACAAAGAACTTAGGGAACGTCAACAAAATCTACTTCAAAAATGACCTGCCAGCACGTGTTGACTGACAAATTAATCACATATATATCTCTTTTTTATACCACCAAATCGTGACTAAAGTCAGTCATAACGAAAATATTAAGTTAAATGGCATTAACTTATAAACTGCTTTTTAAAACACATTTATAGCATACTGTAAGCTTAGTCAAAATTCTCAAAAGGCCAAACCATAATTTGTGTCGCAGTTATTCCTTTGTCCCCCACTATTAATAACAGATACCTCGATAGGAATAAGTTTAGATAAAAGTGCACAAATGATATTTTCTGCAATGATTACGCGGGACTTATATATAAATACATAGGTTACATTATAAATAAATATTTTTAGAATTAATTGTCACAAGATGTGCTTCATACACAAATATTTGAAATTATCATAGCTACAAAACTGTTACTGAATAGAATAAACTTTATAATAAAACAATCATACATTTACCAGTTTATAAAGTGAAGAGTTTGTTGGAAGTCTCGTCAGTATATAAAAAGTGAAAATTCTGCTCGTCTAACGTTACCCCTCGGCGGTCATCTCTATTCCAGCAGCGAACAAAAAATATCGTCTGGAAAAAAACGGTCAGCTGGGTGCTTTATTGCCGTCATCACATCCGAAAAACACAAACAGCAATCAGCTGATGACGCGGGGAATTCTGGGAAATGTAGTCTTCAAAGCAGGCTGAAGGCATGACGGTAGAGGCAGAGGAGACTACAAGTACCAGAGTTCTCAAAACGCCACATGGCCACTGATTGTTTGTAAACGTTTCATCAGTCACAGGAGTGGCGGAGGTGAATCTCATGTCCGAAAGATGTTCAACTGACGTTCTGTTGTTCTCTTAAGTGTTTCATAGAAGCTTATAAATGTTACAAAACACATTCATATGCCTTTTGAAATTATGAAACTTGATGAAAAAATAAAGACATTTTAGTAAACGATCACAAAATGGGTTAAATTCAGAGCACAAATTCCGAGTATGGGACACCATACTTGGCTACACGTCACGTAACTTTAGAAATATACACTTATCTCTAATAATCACGCACACATGACTTTCCATTGACGTATTTTGTTATTGTACCTACTGCGCAAATTGTATTTTCTATCCTCTAACCCTAAACAACATAGAAGACTTTTGGTTTCTTAAAATTTTTATTTAGACAGTGTGTTGATTTAGCCATCTGATCCGCAGTTTTTTTCCATAGCAGATTCCAGTTTTTCCTACACTGAAGACATTTTTTAGGCTACTGTATGAAACACAGGCGTTTGAGCGTAATTTAGGCAACGTTTTTTCTTTTGAGTACATTAACAATGTGGTCGAGGTTCATGCTCTTTACGCCTCCACTGTATGAGGTTCAAGACAAAGATGTCCTTCTGTCTCAGTCCTTTCAACAGCAAAGACACCATTTAAACAGTGACTGGCTCTGTTGGAAAGCATATGAGGGGTTGAACTTCCTCTCTTCTGAATGCCTGGAGGCTAAACGTACAATACAGACGAAGACGTGTTCAGGTAACTAAAATACACTGTTATATATATATTTTTTTTTATTACTTTGAGTTAGTTTTATTTTATATATTTATATTTTGAAAGTTTTCGTTTTAATTTTAGTTAAAGTTTTAGTAATTTTGTTGCCTGTTTTGTCATTTTTATTCATAATAAGAAAGGTTGCCTTGGCAACTATCTAAAATAAAATAAGTTTAAGGTCTGATCTTGCAGTCATTTCAGTATAACAGTAGATATAGATTTTTTTAGAACTCAAAATAAAAATAAATAAAAAAAGGCCATACAAGATGTAAATGAGCTTGTTTCTTCATCAGAAGAGATTTGGGTAAACTTAGCATTACATTAACTTGCTCCCCAATGGATCCTCTGCAATGAATGAGAGCCAAACAGTTGATAAAATCGTCACAATAATAAAAAGTAATCCAGTCCATCAATTAACGTCTTGTGAAGTTAAACGCTTTGTAAGAAACAACTTTCGCCTCTGGCCAAATTCATATTAATGCTTTATCTAATGAAAAAGTCAATCCCCTGTTATCCTCTCACATCAAAATCCACTGACATATTTGTTTAGAACTGTTTTAGACCCTTTCCGTAGATCTGTGCATATTTCTCTCCTGGTTCAGACGTGAAGACTATTTCATTGCAATATTATGGAAAGAGGACTTGTTTGAAATTAAAAACATCTTGATGGATTTGTTTATTACAAACAAGCAGCTTTTCACTTCACAAGATGTTAATTGATGGACTGGAGTCGTGTGGATTATTGTGATGGTTTTTATCAGCTGTTTGAACTCTCATTCTGACGGCACCCATTCACTGCAGAGGAGCCATTGGTGAGCAAGCGATGTAATGGAATAATACTACAAATCCGAAATCTTTGATATTGAGAAGACTGTTGGACTCTATCAGATAAACAGCCAAGAAAAAAAGGCATGTTGATGCCTAAAGCATTCTCTGGCAGACTTTTTCTTCCTCTTTCAATGCTTTCACCTGCAGTCTGTCTCTGTGCTGTTTGTGTTCTGTTGCTATCATGTGTCTCTGTTCTCTCTTGGTTTCCACACCATTAGTCCACAGCAGCTGACTGCACTTTCTGCTGTCTAAAGCACATTCCCCTGTCTCTGTGTGTTTATGTGATTAGTAGTCATCCCAGCATTAATAGTGCTATAATAGAGCTTGGATCCACTCAGATAAGCCCCACTAAAACACAACAGGGGAAAGGCCAGTTCAAGTTCACTGACTTAAGCCAAGCAGAATATAACACAAGAAGTACAGACATTTTATATATATATATTTGAATATTAATTAAATTATTTCAAACCGGCAGTTGTATCCTAGACTAGCCACATGGTGGCAGCAGTGGCTAATGGAAACAGTATAACAGGATATTTACAAGTGCACACAGGTTAACAAATGGGGATTTGGGATTATTTGTTTTAACAATAGAACTCTAGATCTCATTTGTATTTTATACCGATGAATCCATGCGCTATAATATACCTGTAATTATTGGTTTAACATGGCTAGGTCCAATCAGCCACAGTGTTCATATAACACAACATTTTATTTAGGAGAAGTATAACTTCATATCAAAGTGACCATGTTTCCTATAAGTGTTAGGCTACAGGTTGTAACAACAACCCTCTACTTGACATTACACAGTTTCGAAATAAGTAGTAGATTTAGTATACAAATTTGGGTATATTACAGTTTTAGACGTTTAAACAAAACACTGCCAAGTCTCCCAACAGTTTACATTCTTTTCAAACACTTTAAAGTCATTCAAAAGCAACCAAATGTGTTACACTTCAGGGATTAAGCTCTATAATGAGCAGTATCGAGGAAACCTTAACCTAAAATCAGTCTATATGTCCTCAGACATTTTATATATATATATGTAGAAGTTGCAGAAATGTAGAAACAATTACCTGCGATTTGCCCCAGGTATGTAGCCTATTTGTAAAGCAGCGGAAAATCCCGTTCGATGGCCTCGATCATTACGGCGCATCCCTCCAGTTCTCGCGAGAACTTTCGGTTCATGAGCGCAGTGACGGCAAGCTGGAGTTCGTAAAGCGACGGAGGCAAAACTGTAGAGAAGCGCCGTACGGCTGGGGCAACATCCACACCATCTCTTCCCCCTCTGCATAGTTGCCCCTGCCCTTTTTTTTGCTCTTTTTAATGAGGGACAGAATAATCTGTAAGAAATATGCTTAGACGCCGCGCTCCACTTTTATTTTAAGTGATCATTTGCAGTATTTCCGACCCGGGGCTGCATTTCCCGAAAGTAGCGGATTTTTCTCTTCATTGAAAAACATCCTACACAAACACGCCGCGTAAACAAGTTCATAAATGGGTGAGTACAACAGATTTGTGGAAAGTCAGGTTATTTTAAGCCAGATCTTGGCCTGAGTGTGCTATCGATGTGTCATATAAAACATTAATGAAACTGAAAAACATTGATCGTGTTTGCATCATGCATCCGTCGCACTATTAGAACTACATTGAAAGAAGATCTGATGATTTCAAGATGTGGACACGTTTGCATGTTTTTCCTCTTCTCCGCTGCTCAGAGATCATGAAGAGTTAAAAGCTGAATTTCATTTCCCTCTTGATGCTTCCTTCTCTCCTAGAGCTGTCCGTTATGTTTCTCTTCACCGATGTGGTTTTTGCTACATTGTTTCATATGAGGAACGCTCTTTTTAATATGCATATCATTTCATTATGACATTACAGTGCAACGGAAACTGCTTTTAAATTGTCAGTATCAGCATTAACTGTACTAGATTGCCTGTCAATAAGTATTAAACAATGCACATTTTCTATTTTCAGATATTTGAGTGAATATTAAGTAAATATTTGTGTAAAGTAAGTGTTCATTTGAATTCAGTGAATCGTTTCCAAAAGGAAAACAAAAATGTTTTTGAGATTCAGTTTGGTCTAAATGCTAAAGTTAAAATGCTTTGCATTTGGTATAGCATTTAAAGTCGACATTAAAAATAAAAATCTACCCTATCTATTTTCTAAATGCATGTTATTGATCTTATTGTAAAGTTTTAAGCATGCATGTTTCATATTTTAGAATTTTTTTGACATGATAATTTTAATAAAAATGTCAACTTGATCTTCTGGTGAACCAAGTCCCAGCCGTACATTTTCTTTCGTTTTCGATAATCCTTTTCAATTGGATGTACGTCACAATACGGAAGAAAAGGTTGGTTGCTACTTCCCTTTCATCATGACCTTTAAGTATAAAAATGTGAATAATACTGGACAAACTGATTTTCTGTCTATTTAGTTCAAAGGGCCAAAACAAATGTTTCTCGTTGCATGTTTTTCCTCTTCTCCGCTGCTCAGAGATCATGAAGAGTTAAAAGCTGAATTTCATTTCCCTCTTGATGCTTCCTTCTCTCCTAGAGCTGTCCGTTATGTTTCTCTTCACCGATGTGGTTTTTGCTACATTGTTTCATATGAGGAACGCTCTTTTTAATATGCATATCATTTCATTATGACATTACAGTGCAACGGAAACTGCTTTTAAATTGTCAGTATCAGCATTAACTGTACTAGATTGCCTGTCAATAAGTATTAAACAATGCACATTTTCTATTTTCAGATATTTGAGTGAATATTAAGTAAATATTTGTGTAAAGTAAGTGTTCATTTGAATTCAGTGAATCGTTTCCAAAAGGAAAACAAAAATGTTTTTGAGATTCAGTTTGGTCTAAATGCTAAAGTTAAAATGCTTTGCATTTGGTATAGCATTTAAAGTAGACATTAAAAATAAAAATCTACCCTATCTATTTTCTAAATGCATGTTATTGATCTTATTGTAAAGTTTTAAGCATGCATGTTTCATATTTTAGAATTTTTTTGACATGAATAAAAATGTCAACTTGATCTTCTGGTGAACCAAGTCCCAGCCGTACATTTTCTTTCGTTTTCGATAATCCTTTTCAATTGGATGTACGTCACAATACGGAAGAAAAGGTTGGTTGCTACTTCCCTTTCATCATGACCTTTAAGTATAAAAATGTGAATAATACTGGACAAACTGATTTTCTGTCTATTTAGTTCAAAGGGCCAAAACAAATGTTTCTCGCATAAGGTTGTACCGGTTAACATCATGTTATGTGCTATGTTCTTGAAATAGAGTTGAATTAGTTTGTACGTTTGTTTTTTAAACAGACGGCCTCCCTTGACACCCATAAGCATATCACTGTCAATAACTGGGCAGCTGCAGCCAAAGCTGTTTTTAGCATTTCAGTCCAAAAAATAGTTGCTGGTGTCGTTTTCTTACATTGCACTGATGATAAAACAGGATGACAGACATTTTTGAAGAATGCCACACTATTGTGGAATGAGATGTTCAGAACTGCAGAGTCATCACTGTAATCTCAAATGTTGTGTCATACAAAACAGATCAGAGCCTATCATTGACAATGGATTACAACCATTTGTGATTTACATTAACCAACTAAAAACAACTTCTTATTGACTGAAGCACTAACAGATGTATAATCCTCTTATGATCCATTCTGTTCTATCCACTCTCCCGTGACGAACTCATCAAAAGTGGAGCATCTTTGACAAAACACCAGTGTGAGACAGTCACACATGTGTCTCAACGGACATATGTGTTGAAAATGTAAACAGCACAATATAGGTTTTAAGCACATCGCACAGCACATTTGGTTACATTCTTTAGTGACTAAAGCCATCCGTGTACAGACCCATCAGAGTGTTAGGAAAAGGTTTAGTTAGTTTCTGCATAAATATAAACGCTAACGGTTATTAATGACCGAGGGCCAGCTGTGTGTACCAACTATTTCAAAACATAAATCAATGTCATAAACAGGACTGCAGGAATGATATGATCTAAAAAGCAATCTGACAAATGAGCCATGCTCTGCTCTAAATTAAAAAGCGAGGAAAAATTGTTTGGAAAATATGTGCAAACAACTTTGTACATTATCAGCCCCTAAAGATTGTATATATTAGTACCTTAAAGGGATACCCAAAAATGAAAATTCTCTTCTTATTTACACACTTTCATGTTCCAAACCTGTACAACTTTCTTTCTTCTGTCGAATTATGTTGAAGATAAGAATTTGAGGAATATTTCCATGTTTTTTGGTCTATACAGTGGAAGTCAATGAGGTTCAAAACAACATTGGAACCCATTAACTTTTATTGTAGAGACAGAAATACAAGACAATTTTTAAATCTTTCAAATTTTTTTATTTTGTGTTCTACAGAAGAAAGAAAGTTATACCGGTTTGGAACATCATGAGGGGGAGTAAAGGCCTGTTCACACCAAAAACAATAATTATAACTATAAAGATAAAGTTCTAAAAATCATTCTAAATTGAAGAGAGTAGCGGGGTTCTCACCATAACTTTAACGATTATGCCACAGAGGAACAATATCATTGGAATCCCTTTCAGAATAATATTTTCCAGCTGAATGCTTAAAAACATTGACAGCCAATCAGAATCCATCCTGCTTTTAAAGAACTCAAGAATTAAAAGAGGCAGTCAACAAAACTGTGGTGAATGCTTATAATAAACAGAATGTTATTGTGTGTTGGTGTAGATGCTAATATAATTATAGTTATCATTCTTGGTGTGAAAGAATAGGCCTTTAATGTTGAACTATCCCTTTAAGGTAATGATATGCACCCCTTAAGGAGAAAAGGTACAAAGGTTTGCAACAAAACTGTGATAAACACTATGCAACACCTTGTTAATATTTTGAATCAGCGATTTCGTGTGATTCTCCCAAAGACATGCATGTATGGAATATTTGTTGACTTATTTAATGATTTAATGAGCACAATTAACAGGCCAAGCCTCAAAAGGAATCATTTTCAGACTAGTATACATGACCCACCCGTGATTTCGGGTTCAGCATTGAACAACGCGACTGTCAGCATTCTTAAGCCACCATGCAATGATTTTTGGCTTTTATTTTTTAATTAAACATACTATCAGTAAGTGAATTCATAGTGATCAAGGGCTCCTTGTGAATCCTCATATCCAAGTTAATAAAGCCCTGGCATCCTCTGTTACTGTTTTTCCTCCCTAGTGATGTGGTGAGCTTTGGATTCTGGAAAGTGTTGCACTGTACTCAGGTTTCTTTACTATCATGGCTGCTGTGTCATGCTCATTCATTGCCCTTTGGCAGAGAACAGGGAAGTGGTGAGAGAGGTATGATGAGTTCCCGTTATGTATAGTGGAGCATTTACACATCTACCTCATGTTCCTCCATGTTCTGATAGTTGCTCTTTTATTGCCAGTGGGAACGGTGTAGGGGAACCAGTAGTAGTCTTGCCACAAGATTTGGAAGATCTACACATCTCCAACTTCTTTTGTTTATGGTTATTAAATATTTTGGCTAGTTTAATTATTCTTTCAGCCTTCAACAAGAGTATGTTTAAATCCATTGCTGTTAATTTTCCCTTGAATGCAGCACAGAAATTTTCTGCAGATGCCTTCTGGGCATCCCTATGTTGAATATAGTATTCATAGATCTTTATAAAATATTCCAGAAGAGAGCTATTTTGGATGGAATTAACGTAATCATTTTCTGTGCATGGCACCATAGGGAAATGCACAATATGCAATAATAAAAACCATAAGGTTTTGTATTAAAAGGAAAAAGAATAAAGTTTTCCTTGTAAAAAAAAAATAAATAAATAAAAAAAGAGTTATGTGTGTTTTGGAGCATGAGTAATCGTTGATTTCTCAAGTCTGCAGGAGATTACTCCATTCAAGAATTAAAGTCGTGTCACCTCATGCGATAGAGAAGTTCCACAGCTAGTGTGAGAGTTTTGTACGATATTGTGCAATAGCTCCAGATTTATTCATCATATACTGTACAGTTGAAAAAACATCTGCTAAAGAAGCTTTTGTAGATTAATAATTTAAGTGTTGTTACACTCGCTGAACATTTCGCTTTTAAATCATGCAATTAAGCTATGATAAGCTTAATTGCATACGAGAAATCTGAACTCTGCAGTTTGTTCTCATATATCTGCAGTAGGATATACAAACAACCGAGTGCTTTTTACACACAAGTACCTTCATGATTTATTAACGTGTCTGACTTCGGAGCAGTAACTTTTAAGCGAGAGTTGTAAGATTGTTGAGTGTTGGCTTTAAGGAAGTAGTGTTAGACTTTGTGCTCAGGAATTAAACGCAAGAGTGTCTGTCCTACATACTGTATCATTTAATGGCTTGTTAACTGCATATTTTATGCTTCTGGGAAAAGTGCGTCATTTTGTATCTTGCACCAATCGTTTGTTAGTTTCTCTGAATTTCTGCACATGACCCAAGTCTAACCCACATAATCAGT